ATCAACCTTAAAATTGTATTTTTGTAGAAGTTATGGACAGGGAAATCAAAATAAAAAAGTGATTTTTCTCGAAAACGGTTAAATCAATTTTGATAAAAAAAATATATGTTATGAACGTCAGCAAGACTATTTTGAGAATAAATTTAAAAAAAAATTCTGACAAAAAATACAAGTAAAAAAAATTTTCGAATATTTCAAAATTTTTTTTGAGATTATGTTTTAGAGATACACCTTCAATTTTTTTTTAAAAAAAATCTTAAAATGTCTGCTTTAACATCTATTTTTTCCAAATTTTTCATAAAGGTACTTCATGGAAAAATGATGAAAATCATGCATGCACCACGTTTTCACATCACACTCTCACTCCAGCCACGCATATCGATCTCGACTGACCGGTTGACATTATATTAAACTAATTTTAGTCTGTAATCATATGTCACCATTGGCACCTCCTGAATCCGAAAAAGATGCTAAGTCTGAAACCAAAAAAAATGTCGAATCACATTTTATAGAAAGAATTTCCATCACTTTGGATGAACTCTAACGCTATGAGATTTGCTGTGTTAGCATCTTTTTCGTTAGCATCTTTTTTTTTTAAAAAAAATTGAAGATGTATCTCTAAAACGTAACTTCAAAAAATAATTTTGAAATATTAAAACATTTTTTTTACACGTATTTTTTGTCAGAATTTTTTTTAAAATTTATTCTCAAAATAGTCTTGTTGATGTTCGTAACATATATTTTTTTCATCAAAATTGGTTCACCCGTTTTCGAGAAAAATCACTCTTTTTATTTTGCTTTCCCTCTCCATAACTACAAAAATGCAATTTTAAGGTTGATATTTACAGGATTTTTTTACACATAGGTGCCAATCCATGATGCCAATCTTGGACTTGATATGTGCGGGGGCAACTTTTACATGCTTATCCCTCTAGGCCCTTTGATATTAATTTGTAAATAAATGTTTGGTGAAAATAGTTAATTAGTAATATTAGTTGGTGAAAATAGTTTTTGCAATCGATAAAAACGTTTAAATGGAATCTTTAATGATTAATATATAGCTGTCATTTACTTCGAGGTTGGTTATTGAACGAAGTTTTTATACTCCAACTATTTCCGGTACTTACATCATGTTTTTAGGAGATAACTTCTTAGTTTGACATCGTTTTATTCTTTTAACAGTTCTTGTACCGTTTTACGAGTCGTTAAATGTCTTATAATTTAACTGCAATTTAATCCGCATGAGAATTTAATTTTTAATTACATATGATATGATAAAAATTACTTTGCACTATAAAAAATAATTTATACTTTAAGAAACTTTTCTTATTAATGCAGTCACTGTATGTGAGAATGTCTTTCCTTCTCTCTCTGTCTCTCTCTCTCTCTCTCTCTCTCTTTCTGGCTTAAAAAGAAAATGAAATTTTTTAAAAAATAAACAGACGCCATTACTCATAAAATGTATGTGAAATTTGTCAATAAAAGTTTATTATACATATATGTATTTCCAAATACAATCAACGAACATGAACGTGAATTTAAATGCAAGTGTCACAAAAATAGTTCTCAACTTTGTTGCCAAAAGTCCTTTTACGTGCGTTGTTTCGGGAAATGGAGGTTTGAACACCATTTCCGCTAAACGGAGACGTCGGCTTTGTAGAACTTTATCCGCTCACATACGCGCAACGACATCTCAAACATCACGAGAGCCATATATCGTAACGATTTGTAGTTCTCACCATTACGTTCCTCGAGGAAAATACGTTTTCCCACTGACGCTATCAACTCGCAATATCCAGGAAATGATATAATCGTGCTACGACGCGAACAATGTGCAAACTATTTATTCAACCATTTATTCATATATGATGGAAGTGAAGGAACTTGTTATCTTCTTTTGAAAACTATCAGTTATACATGAAACTGTATGTATATTGTGCATATTCTTGCTAGAAATACAATAGTATGAGCTGATGATTCTTTTTGATTCAAAGTTTCAAGTACTTTTTTTTCAAATTTCTGCTTTTTTTCTTTCTTTTTCACAATCACTATGTACTCACACCTAACCATGTTTAATTTTAAAAAGATAGACTTAGTTATACACTCTTTCGAATGTCCAAGTTAGGATCGAATCGGAAATTTCACGTTCAAAACTTTTCCTCACGGGATGCTGATCGAAACTGTCGGATGTGGATACTTTCTACTCGAACTGATTGAAACTTACAGGCCGATAATTGGATCGTGGCCGTCAGGGCATGTATTCGAATAGACGTAATCGTTGCTTTGTCGAACTGAGAGTGTATAAAGATTCCGTTGAAGGCTGATTTGGCAACAGACGGTGCGCAATCGTGGATCTTTTTTTACGGATCCTTTCTAATGAAGAATCCAGAGAAAATATCGCTGCGCATATATAGGAGGTCATATAGATGCACTTCCCGAAAAATAATGATCTCAAAGGTTCAACTTCAAATAGCAATAAAGACTTTACTGTGGCAGCGCGTTGTGCATGGTGTGATGTTTAAGAGCATTTCACCAAATTTCTCCAAAGACTGACACAGCTGCGTTTTATTCTTTTTTAGCTTTTCTACTCCCCTTTTTATCGCGCGGCTAGTTTTTCCCGTGTAGATTTATAGAATCTATTTTTTAAGAATAAACGTTTTATTCCAAGCTGTGCAATATTTTCAGACTTGAACAAGGGAGTGAGTTGTCCATTTGTCATCGTGAAAATTGTTACGAGCAACAACTTCGAGACTGTTTGAAATATCAATTTTTTATATTTCTTCACATTACATATAACATTTTAAGAGTTATGTATATGTTTGACATTCAATCGGCTATCATTAATTGTACTATTAACAAATAAAAATGATCATTTTAAAATTTTGAAATGATAATCATTTATATATATATATATATATATATATATATATATATATATAATTAATTTAAAATAATTTAATATGAATCATAAAGTATGTTAAATATTTTTCATTTGATGAAATAAGAATATGATATGTATATGAATATATTTGACTAAATATATATTCATATTCATATTTTTTTAATTTTTAACAAGAGAGAAATCAATGTAACAATAGAAATAAAATATATTAGGAATAATACAATATAAGACACAGCAAATGTTTTCCTTCAATAATTTTACAATAATGCAACTTCGATTTTATCTGTTGCATCTCCACAGCTAAAAAATAAAGTTTTTCTGTATTAAAAAGGGTAAGAGTTATATTTTTAATAAAACAGCGTGCGCGAAATTTTGCATTTTTCGGCGCATATTTTATACGATGCAGATGTTTAGAATATTTTTCACACATTTTTATTCATATCTGTTTATATACGTTTTACATATAAAGTGCTATAGCGTTCTTATATAAAACTCACATATTTGAAATACATTTAAAAGAATATTAATTTTTCATAGCAATTTTAATGTGTATATTTCGAATAAATATACATCAACATGCAAAACATAATGTATATATATATATATATATATATATATATATATATATATTTCTTTTTACCTAATATAGTTATTAATTTATTTTGTGCAAATAAATATTTTTTATTAAATCTTTGAAACATGCACAATTTTGATTACTATGAAATATATCTTTAAAACGGGATTGAAAATATGCAAAATGATTAAAATTCTATTAATAACATGATTGATATTGATGCAAAAAAATAAATGTTCTTATAAATTTTATTGCAAGTGATTGAATGGCAAGTGTATCATCGTTTTATTTACGAATGATGTTATCGAATTCATAAAACATAATATGGTGAATACAAATGCAGCCTGATTCCACTTTTAATGCTCATATCGATATGCAGCAGTATATCTGTGCATACTAGAACGTAATTTAAATGCATTAATCCTTTGAGTGGTAAACTATGATGTATCGTCATATCATATCGTGTGTCTAGATTGCCAACGCCAATTTATCATTGTTATTACAATATTTGAGAGATAAGCAAGATAAGTATACTTGAATTTTCGATAAAATTTTATGAAGCTCTTTTATATATATAAATGAATTTTTGCGAGTCATAAACGTAAAATAATTGTGAGCAATTATTAATTATTTATTGACAATATTATAATTACGTAAAATTATTTACAATAAAAACAGATTTATTTATCATTATTAATTTATAATAGAAATTTAAAATTTTGATAAAAGATGTGTGTTATTAAAATATTTAATACAATATAATCGCAAGAATCTTTTATACATTCAAATAATGTCCGTAATTACATTGTTCTTTTTCATAATTTTTATTTTATATAACATTGAAGTAGTAGAAATAAATTGTAAACTTGTTTTATTTACAAATTCATATATTATATAAACGAAATAGCTTAGTAAAATCTTATCGAGGAAAGAAAAAGATTTTATTCAAACTATTTTTTATAGATATCAAATAATTCCAAGGCTGCACATGACAGGAGAATGATCCCATGAAATATATATCTCGGGAAATCTCATGTATATAAAGTCTCTTTTTTTAAATTAATTATGAGCAATATTCATAAACGATTAATTGATACAATTATCAAATAATTTGTCATTTATTTTATAAAAATTTATTATTATTATTCTTGTCATTATTGAAATAACACATATATGGTTATCGTTTTTTTTATTAGTCCAATATTTAGAATAAAAATATAATATATATAGAATAAATTTTATAGAAATTCATAATATTTATAGAATAAATTTTTATGAGAAAATATATAAATATATGTATAGGTAAATATATGGGCATATGTGTATGTGTGTATATATGTATGTGAAAGAATGTCAAATAGGTAAAGCGAAAAGAAGCATCCGATGCGAATAGCGCTCGAAGCTGTATCTACTTTACGCAGCTCCAGAATCCGCTCAGCTTTGACAAGGAACGTAGCGTACGCAAACAAGACGCGGGAAAACAAAACTCCATCGCAGGAAATTCCGGAAGATGATTATACTTACCGGTGCGCACCAATACGTTGAGCAGGACGTACAGAACGAGGGTGGTGGCTCGGTATCCGTGTATTATGATCATCAGCCACCTCGATGCGTTGAATCCTGCTGCGTGCCATAGACCCGTGCCCTCGTGCACCATATTTTTCCGGCTGGCCCGTTCAAACCTGCTTCAAAGCCGCCACCGTTGTTGCCGTGCGTCCCTCGCGTCTTCATTCACCAGCACTCTACGATGTAAACCATCACGACGATGTAAACACGGAAGTTATCGGCGCGATCTCGATTCACGTCTGCGGACACGTCAATTCTTCGTCCGCTTGATGCGAATCGAGACGTCGAGAGAATTTGTTTTGCGGAAGAAACAGCTGGGACAAGTAGGTCATTGAAAGTTAGATACTTCAAAATTTTTTATGCGACTTTTATTTACTCTGCTGCCTTCTACAGTTACAGTTACACGAACGTATATGTAAACTTCTATCTCATCTATGATGTATCAAACGTGATTTTATTGATTTTCCCGACGACACTTTATTCAATAATGAGGACAGAATTCTAAACGATTTAGTTCACAGTTAACTTTGGAAATTATACGTACCTATTTCAGAATTATTCATTTTAATGTAAAAAATAATGAAACATTAAAATTTAGAAAACTACTGTTGAAATCTCCTTTCATTAAATAAATATTAACGTTACTTCATAAGATCTCAAGGATATATTTTAGAAAAATATTATAAAAAGATATAATTGACATATTGCGAAATATATGTAAAAAAGCTATAATAATTTATTGAATAAGTAAACAAACTATTGTGTTGGAATACAACAGCATATCATCATATGTCAATAATACAACTGTATTAATAATCAATCGTATTAAATCAATTAAATTAATTAAATTAAATTTTAATTGCAGTAATTATATAATTTGTTCAATTAATTATATTTGTTTCAATAAAGGCAATTAATTGTATATGTCGGTTTTATCCCGTATTTTTTATCAATATAGCAAATTTGTAAAATATTTTTAATCTTATATTTTTTCGCTAAATAAAAGATTCACCATAAAAATTTGAATTCGTTCGGAAAACAGAGATATGTATATTTTTAAAAATATAACTTTAATATAATACATATATTTTTAAATACATATATTTTTAAAGATATATATTTTTAAAAATATTTTTATTTTTATTTATATAAATTTTTATTTCATTTACTGTATGTATTATCTCTATACTTTTAAATTCATAACATTATGCGTAAAGTATTGCATTATGAATGTGATAAATTAATTTATCGTATACAATTTGGAAACATAAATTAAAGGAAGTATTTGCCAAATATTTGAGGATATTGATCAAATTTTATATTTGTGGAAAATCGAAACCTATTTGAAATGTGACATAGTTTGATTCTACCATATCCGAGAATCGATGATTAATGCGAATAAACAAGTTCTCTCGAAATTTCTAGATTTTATCGTAAGATTAAACAAGTTTTCCGAATAATCTCTACCGATATCGATAATGTTTCTGATGAGAGATATTCGACATATCGAAGCTCAAAAAAAAAATCTGAATTTTTACATGGCTGCTTGATAAAACAGAATTAAGGTCAATGGAGATTTAGAGAAATCTGCGCACTTTACATCATTACATATCTAAAATAGATGCAGACTTATCGGTGAATAACAGCGCAATTCGTTTAATATGTAACCTTTACTTCAACATTTATTGTGTAATTTTTTATTCAATAAAAAATGTATATTCTTTTCTAAGTAACTTTTTAAAAAATTAGTTAAACTAAATTCAACAAAACAAAATCAAAATTGATGAAATAAACAAATAAATAAATAAAATTAATAAATATTATTATTTTAATTTTAAAAAAATAAAGAAATTAATACAACAAAGTGATCAAAATCAAATTGTTTCAAAATCTCCAATATATAAATATCATAGACGCTACTATAACTTATTTCTTCAAACTAGATATATTGTATCAAGCTTTTTATGGAATTATTAAGAAATTGCGTGACATAAACCAAATTTCTAGTTGTCATGTGCTTGAAAATTCCTTTCTCACAGAACAAGAGATATCAGGGCTCGTTTGCATGGAGGACATGTCTAGAGCGTGTCAACTCAACGCGAGCGATGCTGTTCGCCTAAATCTTCCTTCGCACCGCCTATCTCTTGTTCTTCTTCATTTGGCTGACACTCTACCAACAATAATATAAGTCAGAAAACTTGTATTTCAAAATGCAAAAATCGATTAAATTGCCTAAATCGACAATAATGAAAAATTGCTGTGAAAATATCACATATCATTATATTTTACCAAAAGGTAAATTATATAGGGCTTGAAATTATTAATAATTTTAATTTCTTAATTTAAAATTTTATTTTATTAAAAATAATCAAAAATTAATTTTCTTAATTTTCTTAATTTTATTCTAAAATATTAAAGATAGAAGAAAAAGTATATATATATATATATATATATATATATATATATATATCACATATATATAAGTCCTGGGAAGAAATTTTTGCACCTGCTTGTGGCATTACTTTGATATTTATCCGAGAGTTTTATTTACTAGATACGCTAGATAATTTTCTGTTAATGAGCTTGATGTCGTGGAACTTCTTTCAGAATCGTTCTTTGCTCGCTAGGACTTATCGTTCATTCTTTTTATCTCATGTTTTTTTAGTCGGAAACGTGCAAGAACGAACAACCGTGCGCAATCCTTCACAAGCAGCGCTTCAGAAACGCTTACTCAGTAACTAACCATTACATCCGGAAATAAATCGAATTTTTTTTTACAAGTTATTTGCACAACATCGTCGTAATTCCAGCGACTTGAAAAAAGAGAGTGAGATTAATATCGGATCCGAGAAAGAAACGTGAGATATTTTCTACGAGTCCTATATTTTGACACTTTTTTTCGATGTCCGACATCTACTGATGTCACGTAAGACGATATTACACTGATGCAATTACTCGAAAACCACCGTTGCATCGGCAACTTAATATATATAGTGTACCAACGGCTCAAACATCAAAGCTTACCCTTCCATCTGCTAATTTCGAATGTGAAACGTTGAATAAAAGGATCACGGGGGCGTTTTGCAACGTCGCTTCTATTCTGAAATCTCGCATGAGCGTAACATTACACTTTGCAAGCGTCTACTCTCGCGTATTCCATTGCCTCTTGAGCATTATTCCAGTCAACTTCAATCGAGATCAAAAAATATCAATATGCCTTTACAGAAAGATTCCCTTTATATTCACTTTTGCATTCTTGATTAATGATCATCGTTCTACTTTTGATATTACATTATTTTCAAATCGACTTCTCTTTTTTATCAGCCGTGAAGACAAAGACAAATAAGCAGATGCAACATTTAATGAATCGCGATAAAATCACATGCTCTAATTTGTCAAGAATAATATAAAGCAAAATAAGCCCTACTACAGTTAAAGTAATCATACACGGTAAATCTTGACGTGCGCGTTTCATTTCAGGTAAACAGTCGCTAACAATTGACTTGACTCGCACTGTGTGTTCAATGTAAACTTAGCCTAGAATACGATCCGAAAAGAGATTCAGTAGAAGAGATACTGTCAACTTCGTCAGTTGAAACTCGGCGCGAAATTCAGCCTCGTAGACGTAACGTTAGCTACATAAAGGATCGGCCGTATACTTCGAACGCTATGTAACTTTCTTGATATCTTCAAGTTCAACAAGTTCTTCGACACACGAATCCGTCTGTTCTTTCCTGGAACTTAGAAGCCGACATAGGAAAGCTAGATGTTTCAAAGGAAGTTCCATTTTCTCCGAGAGTGTTCCCGAGAATATCCCATAGTTGGGATTAAACCGCGTTACCGCCACCGGGTGATGATATCTCACCCGAGACGCGATATTAACTTCGTCACCTTCGGCGCAATGATAACTTCATCACCTAAAGTACAACGCTAACCGCGTTAACGTTTGCCGGCTGCTGAAACTCGCCTTATCCCAGGCTTCACAGCTATGATACGCTAGTCCAAACTGGCGCAATGACCATTATCATAAGATTTCCGGCAACATGTAGCTACGGCACGATCTACAGACTGCATCTTCGCCTCGTTTCGGAAGCAGCGAGGGAAAGCGGCATGATCTCTCCCATTCCCTTTCGGAACTACTTCGATAACTTCCGCGCGCTTACGTTTGTAAGCATGGATCGGTCGGTCGCTCGTTACAGCGAGTCCTCTCTTCGCACAGGCACTTCCGCAGAAAACGGGAAAGAAACTTCGGCTTTCCGCTTCGCCGATGCGCTGTGTGTATTTCTTGCGAGAGCGTTGGAAATAACGGAGCAGACACATGTCGGTACATGGGGCGTAACCTTCCCGAAGATTCTCGCTCCCGTGACCCAGAAGAAGCTTTCCAGCAAGCGCCCGAGCGTTCACCGACGTGCAGCCTCAAACGTCGCGACGCCGGCTTGCGATGCGGATGCCGTGCGTGCGGATCTTCCATTTGGCAGCTTGTATTTTGCTCTACGTTTCGTCCTGGAAACAGGAACTTTGATGTCTCGCTCGGAAGAGCAGCGTCGTTACTGAGTAAAGAGTTGGAGGAACGACGCGTGGTGGTGCACCGCTGTGTCGTCGTACTTCGAAATTCCCGTAAGCAAGAATGTTTTAAGAGAGTTTGAATGAAGAAATAATGTGAGAAGACGAAACATCGAGAGAAAGAGCAAGTGGAAGAAGGATTTTTGAGGCTCCTTCAAGTGTTCATATTTCTTATCTCATGACAGTTTAAAAAGAATAATAGTTGTTTTACCGCATCGAAATTTCTTTTCAGAGGAAATTATGAATATTGCATATAAGCATAAAAAAACATAAAAATATAATTTCTTATTTATAAAAAAAACCTTTATTAAACATAACAATCGCCAATATTATTTTATATTTTATAGAGTGCTTTTTTTCTCTTTTACATGTACACTCCTTGTATACAAAATCATGCTAGTGGATTCGAATTCGTGTTACGTGACGTTCAAAAAGCGGAAATTTTAACGCTACACTGACATAGATGTGCAACTATGATATAAGAAATAAGGAAAAAAAGAAAAAAAAAATAAGTAGGACAAATTTCGAAATAAACTATTTGCAACATTTGATTCAAATTATACTATCTACTCCTATAATATTTTCAAAGGACATAATAGCAGACACATAAAGA